TTCTAGTTTTGAGTGGGGCTGAGAGCAAGAGAAGGCTCCATGACAGGTCCAGGCTGCCACTTGGGCCACATGACCCAGGAGATCCAATGGGGCTTGAAGGGTTGGGAGCAGATAGGGATGCTGTTGTGAGACTTTAACAGGTCCCAGTAGCTGACTCTGAGCATAGGCCTCCACAGAAAACTCCTTTCCTTTTGAGAAAATGCTCTTGGTCTGCTCCCAGGCCTCAGTAGAGACTGGATGCTTAACCATGAACCAGCGAGCTTCCATGCAACCTGAGCTGCCCATCACGGACTGGGCGCTGTCTAACCGAGCAGGTCATAGAGTTGGGTATGCACAACAGCATTCCATCTCGTGGTGGTGGGAACAGAGGTTACACACGGAAGTGGCATCCGTGTGACCAGGCCCAAGCAGGCCCTGAAGGCCCAAGTAAGTTAGGTGAGGAAGTGACCCGAGTTCCCACGGTCCCCGCTCCCGCCACATTACCTTCTCTCTCCCCAGCCCGCACCTATGGCCTCAGGGGGAGCTCCCTACGATCAGTTGACAGAGGAAGACAAAACTCAGACCCGGCTGGCAGGTGGTTCTGCATGATATTCAGGTGCCACTTGAAAGTGGACGGCTGGAGCACTACAGCCCCTTTCTGGGACGTCCCTGAAGGACGGTGGTGAAGGAACATCCTCCCAGGGGGAAGAACTTCAGGCGGTGCACTTGGTGTTCATGTTGCTTGGAAGGGGAAATGAACCAGACACGTGACTAGACACCGGGCCACAGGTTGTGGCCGTGGTTTGGATGGATGATCAGGGCCTTAGGAGGAAGATGACTGGAAAATTGGTGACCATTGGTGACAAGAAAACAAAGATATTGTGCCCAATGTAAACACTCACCAAAAAGTGATCTCAGCAGAGGAGAATTTTAATAATTGAGTGGATGGGATGACGCATGCTGTGAATATTAATGTCTCTTTCTCCAGCTACCACTGTCACTGCTAATGGGTTCATGAACAAAGTGGCCTTGGTGGCAGGGATGGAGGTTACATGTGGGCTTAGCAACATAGACTTCCACTGACCAAGGCTGACCTGGTTAGGGCCACAACCGAGTGCCCAATCTGCTAGCAGCAGGGATCAACACTGAGTCCCCTACATGGCACCATTCTCTGAGGTGATCAGCCAGTTACCTGGTGGCAGGTTGATTACACTGCACCGCTTCTACCACGGAAATCAGGGTAATGTTCAACCTATACAAACAAAGGAAACCAAGGATGAATGGTCAAGAGACTAAGGGCAACCCAACGAAAAGTCATGACCCCTAGTCCAGTTTCTGGATCTGAACTGGTGTTCTGACCTGAAACCTATTGACTAAAAGAAAAGCAAGGTCCCCAGGAGGGAGGAGCCTCCAACACCTGGTAAGTAGTATAGTAATGATGACCCCAATCCATCCCTAGAGGAATCTATGCTCATTTACTCAGGTCATCGTCTACTTGGAAAAGGGGAAATCCTAAGCATTTTGAGGACAGTTGGACATAGGACACAGATCAACACTGAAACCCAGGGATCCAAAGCAATATACACACTCCGACTCCCATTAGAGTGGGAGCTTATGGGGGCCAATTAATACATGGGAACCTGGCCTTGGTCACTGGTTCCTCAGACCCATCTAGAAGTCATTTTCTCTGTATCTGAATATATAACTAGAATGGACATACTTGGTTCTTGGCAAAAATCCCACACATCATAGTGGGAAAGCCAAGCGGAAACCTCTGAAACTGCTTTATCCCACTCCAGCCAAGACAGTGAATCAAAAACAGCATCATATCCCAAGGGGAATGGCAACTCTAAAGGATGCAGGGTAGGTGATCCCATCGCATTGTCATTTAATCCACCAGTCTGGCCTCTACAGAAGTCAGGCCAATCCTGGAGAATGACTGTGGACTGACGCAGACTCAGCTAAGCACTAGTTCCAGTTGCAGCGGGGATGCCAGATGTGATATCTTGTTTAGGATAGATGAACATTGCCTCAGGTACATAGTTTGCAGTTATGGATCTAACAAATGCATTCTTTTCCATCTCTATCAGAAGGGAAGATCAGAAACAGCTTTCCTTCACCTGGGACAGACAACAGTATACATTTACAGCCTGGCCTCAGGGCTGACTTAACTCTCTCGCCCTCTGTCAAAGTATAATCCAAAGAAACCTGGGCCACGAGGACATCCTATAGGACATATTCTATTCATCTACTCTACTGATGACAGTATTTTATTAGAACCTGAGAACCAAGAACTGAAAAGTATGTTGGAGGCCTTGGTAACACACACGCCCTTCAAATGGGAGGAGAAAAATCCTACAAAGATTCAGAAGCTCACAACATTGTTGGTGGCCTTTTTCCCCCAGTGGACACATTAAGTTTCCCATTAAATGACAAGGTATGGCTGCCATCCAGTTACTTCACGTTCTTCATACCAAGAGAATAGAAAAGGAAAGAAGTCAACATTCTGGCACGAGAAATGGACCCTGAAAATCAGGAAGTGATGGAGCTGCTTTTACACATAGGGAACAGGAAAGACTGTGCTTGGTACCCAGGTGATCCCCTTGGTGTCTCTTAATGGAAAATGGATAAATACAGCAGCCACAGCCTAGTGTGCACCCACCAAGTAAGCCACTTGGACCAGAGAAGGGTATGGAGAAGCTACAGTGGATAGTAAAGAAGGAAGACAGTAAGTATCAGTTGCAGCCTCAAGAGCAGCTGCTGTGGTAAAGGTCCTAATTCCTTCTATTCATCTTCCCCAAGAAAAGAAGCCCACCAGAGTCCTGGAAGAGCTTCCCAGAACTTATTATTTGAAACAAGTAAAACTGAGGCGCAAAGAGGACACTACAGTGAATGTGCGGTACATCGCCTAGATGCCTCCCCTCCTTCAGGGCTCAAACACTCAGTCCCCTCACCTGCTGGGAGTGTTGGTAACAGCTATCAGCTATCCATTCCTCTGCAGGCATTGCCCTCTGATGAAGTTTCTTTGTCCGAGATCATACCTTCTTCCTGGGGGACAGCTCGCATCCAGTGACTGGTCAACGTGGAGATATAAGACTGACCCCCTTTGTCTCAATTTAGGATAATTCTGAAGGACTATGACGCTGCACCCATGTGAGGCCTTTCTTACAGTTGCGTCACAGTTCACCTTCTCCCTCTGTCCAGTAATGCTACCTTCACCTTCCCAAAAGTATTGATCCCAAGAGGACGCCTCAGTAACCTTCCTGCATGCAAATCTCCGCCTCATAATCTGTGTCTTAAGGAACCTAACTTGCAGCACATGCATTATCTCATTTGCTTCTCACCACAATTTTATCAGTTTTATTGTTATTTTACAGAGGAAACTCAAGCCCTTAGAACTTTAACACACTCTCTGGTCCTACAGCCTACGCTCTTAACCAAAATGGATAAGCAAACTCTACTCCTTAGGCTAGAATTAGGCAGATATTCCCCTGGATGAGATTCTGGGTGCAGCCAGTCAGGCACTAAATCTTACAAAGTCTCTTTCCATATTGCGTGTCCAGGGACCCACCTGGAAGTTGCAGGAGAAGAAAGCAGAGCACTCCTGCAACCCGGCTCCCCTCTCCAGGCTCTGTAAGCCTCCCCACTTGATTGCTGTGGTTTCCAGGGGTGTCTCCCGTGACTTCAGAGCTCTCTCTTGTGCTTGTGATGTAGAGGAGTCTCCCTGACGTGACCAGCTGCCACCACCAGCCCCGCAGGTCCCAGATTTCAACTGTAAGTGGAGTGACCCAAATGCATAATGATCTTGGTCCTATGAATTCAGTGATTCGATAAGTGATTTGTGGCTAGGAAGTTGCATAGAGATCATCCAGATCTGCATCGGATCTCTCTTCCCTTTCCATCCCTAAGCTCTCCATCCCTCCTTAGAGTGCGGCTGTCACCCAGTCTTCCCCAACTTCCAAAATGTCATTGCTAGATATAGGAAATGTTTGATGGGAATGTACTAAAACTATCTCCACTATGACACAGGGACAGACTGTCATAAACTGCTGCAGGTGATCCAGAAGCCTTTTGTCTTTTAGAACAACTTCATTATCATTTTATTCTGAGAGGTTAAAATATCTGGGCTCCCATCGACTTCTGCACATAGTGCAGCTTTTATAAGTAACCAGGCAGGGCAATGGAGCGTGTTTAGTCATTTTGCATAAGAACTTCCCTTGCACGACTTCCATATATAGCTCATTTGGCAACCCCCTTTTCTACCCATTTAGCACCAGTGCAAAACACGTTCTTAGGAGTGCTCACAGACCTTCCACCATGGGCTCCCTGAGGCAATGGAAAGAAGATTCCAGGTGTTACGTTTCCCCAACCCCTTATATGCACATCGCCATTGTCTCCTCGACTTGTCTCTCATTATTCCCAACCATGGTCCTTTT